ACACACTACACGCGCACGCACACACACACACACACCACACGCACGCACACACACACACACACACACACTGTGAAGCACTCACACTGTGCATTTAGACGTTACAAAGAAAATGTTTGCAGAGAAAACTAAATACTAAATCTGACCAATGAGAAGCACAAATTCTGGTTCTTCTGTCTGTAACATGACAGTCATGGAAAACCTGCTCAGACCGCCTTGTTTGCTTCAACTTCCTGTTCATTGTAATGTCTGGTACCACTAAAGGTCCATTTGTTTGGACACATATACTGATAACAACAGAACCAGCTAATCAGAGTTGAACTTCAGAGCTGGTATCAGACATGTTCCAGGGTTTCTTGGTACTAAGTTCTTCCATCAGCAGCTATGACATTCTGCTGCCAGAACCAGAGCTGTTAGACGTTCCATGGTTCCTGTTCTGTCTGTTTCAGTCACATGATGCACAGGAGTTAGTACCTGATGGCAGAACTATAGTTTCTGATGACTGCAGCCATGCGTCTTGGCTGCTCTCGACCAGGTTCTGACATGGTTCTGCTGCCACAGCAGCCCGTTCCTGCTGCTCACATTCACACTAATGTGCTTTGTTTGTGGGCTTGTGCTTCTCCATTTAGCCTTTGATGGTTTCCACATGTTTTCAGCTGGATGTAGATCTGGTGACTGAGCAGGCCAAGGCATGGTTCCAGTGTTCTGGTTCTCCATCCAGGCTTTAGCTGACCTCGCTGTGTGCCAAGGGACATCGTCTGGTTGGAAAATCCAGTCACTGGAGGCAGGAAAGAGTTTTCCAGCTGATGGCAGAAGACTGTTTTCCAGAGCAGCCTGTACGTGACCTGGTCCATTGGCCCTGTTCCACCCAAACTGGAACCAGTCCAGATGGTCACTGATCCACCCCAATGTTCTACTGTAGGGGCAGGACAGTCTGGTCTGGAGGCTTCTCCAGGCTTCCTCCTCACCAGGAAGTGGGCTGGAGTGGGCATCAGCTGAACATTGGATCCATCCTTGAAGAGAACCTCAGCCCAACCATCACCAGTCCGGTCCCTGTGATCCCAGCAGAGAGGAACCGGGCTTTCCTCTGCCTTTGGTTGATGAAGGGCTTCTTCTGCCCTGTGTGACTTCAGACCAGCTTCAACAAGTCGGTTTCCAACAAGTCCCATGTCTCCACAGTGCCACTCATGTTCCATGTTCCACGACCACGACTCCTGACACAGAACAGATGAGTGCTCGGTCATCTGGTGGGTAGGAAGACATTCCCTGCTGCCACCAGCTAGCAATGTGGTAGCACCATGGTGGGCTGGTTGTTTCTTGGTGTGATGAACGTCTGTCTTGGAGATCTTCAGGTTCTTCACTACCTCTCTCTCACTCATGCCAGTTTCCAGCAGAACCAAGATGGCTGCCTTCGTGGCTTCACATAATCCTCACGTTGTGTTGCTCCTCTGGATTTTTCTGGTGCTGTTCTGTTTTGTCTTGTTACGTTTTACTTCTGTATATCAGTGGTGGGCCGGGGCTGCCAGGTGGCGCAGTTGGTTAGCACCGTGGCCTCATAGCTAGAAGGTCGTCGGTTGGTGTCCTGGTGAGGACACCCGGGATCTTTCTGCGTGGAGTCTCCATGTTCTCTCCGTGCAGCG